TGGTGAAGGTACCACCAGTGCCGTCCTCCTTGGTGGACGCCTTCTTGGTTTCTGGTGGAGCTGCCATCGTCTTCTTACACTTGCCGGTGGAGCTCGATGGTGCGTCCTCGACGGTAGCGCAGCACTCCGAAGAGGTGCGCTTGCCGGAGTGGGCATCAGAGCTCTTGCCGGACTTGGTCTTCTTCTTCCCCCCGGGAGCTTCAGCGGCAAGTGACTTGCAATTAGTTGCGGCTGCTGTCTCCCGGTAGATCTTGTCGGCGCAGATAAGGGCATCCTTCTTGTCGCCAGGGACAGAGATGACACTTATCGGGCCTGGCATCTTGAGCATGTTGTATGCATAATGAGAGGCTGCCATGAACTTGGCGAGCGCTGGACGGCCAAGTATCCCATTGTAGGGCAATGGGAAGTCAGCAACGTCAAAAGTGACCCTCTCAGTCCTGAAGTTCAGCTCGCTGCCAAATGTCACCGGTAACGTGATCTTTCCCTTCGGCTTGCTCCTTCCCGGATTGATTCCTTGGAATGTGCCGGTCTCTTCAAGCTCGCTGTCAGGGATCTGGAGTTTCTGGAGTACCGCGGAGGAGATCAGGTTCAAGCCGGCCCCGCCGTCAACTAGCATCTTTGTGACCTTGAGGTTGCGGATAGTTGGTGAAACCAACATCGGCAAGCACCCGACCGCAGTTATGCGATCAGGGTGGTCCTCAATATCAAAGATGATAGGCGTGCTGGACCATTTCAGAGGCCTGCGTGACTCTACGGATGGTTCTGCTGCATTAACTTCCCGCATCCACTGCTTGAGCTGGCGGTGTGAAGTATGCAGAGAAGCACCACCGTCAACGCACAGGACCTCTGTGGCTTTCTGAAACTCCTGCTCATCGGCCTCGTCATCATCCATATCTTCGTCGTCGTCGTCGTCTTCATCCTTGTCGCGGCCGCGGGGAGGTCTGTCTCCTTGCCGCTGCTTGGCCTTGCCGTGGCGTCCTCCTTGGCCGGGACGTTTCTTGCCAGCTCCTCCAGCATCTTCCTGGGCCTTCTCCTTATCGCGTCGCTCATACTCAGCCTTTTGCTGCTCGACAAGCTGTTCTACCTTCTTGTAGCTCTGGAGGTCATGGCCCTTGGTGCGGTGGATCTTGCAGTATTGCTTGCCGGAGCCGTCCTGCTTGTCGGCGGCCGCCACAGCCTGCTTGCCGGAGTTACTAGCCTTAGCTTTCTTGGCGCCACCTCCGTTGCCGGACTGCTCAACGACTAGCACATCTTTGCCTTTCTTCTTCCTGTTGTTCCGCCGCCGGCCTTTCTTTGCCGGGGCAGCATCTTCACTATCAGATCCTGCTGCTCATGTATTCTCTCCGGGGAGTCTCCTCCCCTCCTCAGCACGTGCACACTTGTCGGCCAGGGCATACAGCTCACTGACGTCTCTGATCTTGCACATCGCCATCTCCTCCCGCATCCTGCGGTTTCTCACGTTCTGATGGAACGCGCTGATAACTGCGGCAGGGTGGACATCTGGGATGTTGTGCTGCACATGGCTGAATCTCTGAATATACTTGCGCAGGGGCTCTCCTTCCTTCTGGGCGAGCAGATGAAGGTCACTTTCTTGGCCATGGGGCTTGTGGCCGCCTGTAAAGGCGCCGACAAACTGATGGCACAGATCCGCCCAGGAAGATATGGAGTTATCCGGCAAGTGCATGAGCCAGGATCTGACGTTGGGCTTGAGCACCAGTGGGAAGTAGTTGGCAAGGATCTTATCGTCTCGTCCCCCGGCAGCCTGCACCGCAATGGTGTAGATGCTGAGGAACTCCGACGGATGCGACTTGCCGTCGTACTTCTCCGGTACGTCTGGCTTGAAATTCTTCTTGCTGGGCCACTGGACTTGCCGCAGCTCACGAGTAAACGCAGGACAACCTACCGCGTACGGCAAGTCGCCTGGTTCCCCTGGCGCATGCATGTCGACAAAGGGCCCAGCGCGCTGGTTAGATTGACGCCGCGCTTCTCTTCGGCGCTCGATGCGAGTACGAGCGTCTTCTTGCTGTCGTTCGTGAAGAACTTGGCGCTGATCGCGACGAGCTCGTGGGTCTGATGAAGCGGTGGAGTCGCTGTCGAGATGGACCCGGCGAGTCGGCGATCTTGGCCTTCGGGGTGGAGAGTGCATGGTGGTTGCACCCTCATCGGTCTTGTCGCTATCGTCTTGCACCTGGCGGTCCTGCCGCGGCAGCGAGGTGCTTGGTTGCCGCGCAGTGTCGCCGTTGGCGAAACCGATGAGACTCTGAATGGTGGCCCTCCATTCGTCGGTCTTGTCCGCCGTTGGAGGGTAATCCAGGAGCAGTTGAGCTCGCGCCAAAGCTTCTGCTGGAGTGGCGGGCGGCAGTGGCGAACGGTGTGAGGAGCGGGATATGCTCGGACTTCTAACTATGTTAGAAGGAGCAGTATCCCGTCCAGGCGACCGTGCCTCGCTCGGGCCAGCACGTTGGCGTGCATGCTGGTCTTGAGCAACCCGAGATCCACCAGCTCGATCTTGTTCCAACGAGCGCATGGTACTGCGAATACCATGACGCTGTTGGTCTCGCGCCTCCTCAGATGGGCGCGGTGCGCGTACGGACGCCGAGGTCTGTGCGGCCTTGTCCTTGGACTTGGCGGCACTGTGAGCACCCTCGTCGACGCCCGTTCTTCCGCCGGCGTCTACCCCACCGCCCGTTTGCACCGGTGGTGGCGGAATCGACGCGGACGGAGCAGCTGCCTCCGAAGGCTTCTTCTTCGGTGGCATGTCGATGAAGACGATGAAGATCTAGCTCGTGTGAACGCCGGATCAGGTTCACACAATCTCGACGCCCCCTACCTGGCGCGCCAAAGATGTCGGGGAAACTGATCCACGAACACCTATGGGACCGGCGGACCGAGCCCCTTTTGGTTCGGCGGGGGGCGGAGGTCGCACGAAGAGCAGATCGAGGCGAAGCACACGAGCAGTTTACCCAGCTTCGGAGCTCTCCGGAGAGATAATACTCCTACTGCTGCTTGTATGTGTATATTGAGTTCTTGCTCGGGAGCGATGAGAGCTACCAGACCGAGCGTGAGAGTGTTTCTGGCGTTCGAATGAGCCGAACCCCCTCTACGTTGCGCATGGGCCTCCTTTTATATGCTCAAGGGGTCACCGACAGGTGGCAACGCAGACAAAGGGCAAAAGTGGAAAAAGAGATGCGGTAGGTACAACTACCTATACTGTAGATACAGTGTATCACACCTAACTCTGACGGCAGGGGACAAATGCATTAAATGCCCGTCGGTGTCGCCCAAACAATGCAAACAGAGACCGTCAGGGGCGCCACCGCTCGCCACGATGGCTATCTTGTCAGCGCCGCTTGCCACCGTGCACCGCTGGCTGCACAGCCTCTCGCCACGCGCGCCGGGAAGGGCCCCAGGGCGATACGTGGGTGGATGTGCTGGAGCGCGGGTGCGGAGTGGCCGTTTGCCGCGGCAAGTGTCTTGCCGCGATCGTTGTCTTGTCGGGCCTGGGAGCTTGTCGCTCACCGGGCCTTGCCGGGACGCGTGGCGCGTCGCGGCAAGCTTCTTTGGGATGCCTTGGTTGGTCTTCCCGGCAAGCTCCTCTTGCCGGGGCCTTGTCGTCTGGCTTGAATACTTTGTTCTTGAATGGCCTCCCGGCAGGCTCCTCTTGCCGGGGTCTTGTCTCCTAAGGAGCCACGGAGGATCTTGGCGGTCACCTGGCAAGCCTTGCCGCGGGGTGCTGCGACTGCCCGTGCACAAGTTCGGGATACTAGGGTATCCCTACTTTAGTACACCGAGAGAGTTGCGCTCTGTTTTGGCGACCAACAGCTAAGTATGCAATGAAAATTATGTACTCCCTCTGTAAACTAATATAAGAGCGTTTAGATCACTACTTTAGTATTCTAAACGCTCTTATATTAGTCTACGGAGGGAGTATTTCTTTGTCTCCTGAAAGTACCTACAACGAGAGCTTTTCTACCAGGGGCGAAAATCCCTCTAATATTCCAGAAGATACAACTCATGACAACATTTTTTGCAGACCTTGTACCAAAGGTCCTCACTAATAAGCAAATCATCAGCCTAATCATGAAACTGAGACTCTTCATTAGCCCTAATAAGCTTGTTATTTACACGACTAGTGGGAGACAGGAGATCATCAGTCACATCTCCAGGCTGAAAAGGTTCTAAACTGTTATCAACAGGAGTTAAATCAACTAGAGAGTGATCAGCTAGTACATAGAAATATCTACTCCTGCAGTGTGAGCAACAAAATGAAATCTATCATTATTCAGTAAGGAGGAGTTATGGTTGGTACCTGCAGGCTAGGGATCTCAAGATTTTTCACCTTCCTGTTCTCCTGGGCTAGCTCCATCATGGTCTTCCCCTTGCAGTCAAATCTTGTGCTCTGCAGCTTGGACAAGGCTCCACTTCTCTTTCAAAGCTGGTGGCATCTGGGATAACTCCTTCTGGCTGCTCATCTTGTTGGTCTCCCCCCATAGGTTCTTGTCCAGCATCAACCAGATCCATCTCTAAGCAAATTGAAGCACTGATTTTCATCAGGGTGGTCAGCTACAATCATAATTAAGTTGAGTTACATAGCTAGTCAGTATTTGCCAATCTCAAAATCAGGGGCTCAAGTGTCGAATTGATATGCCACATCACCGCTGATGTGGATAGACGCATCGGCTCCTGTCCAGATTCGACATGTTTTGAAACTTGGTTGATCAAATAACCAAATGTTGCAACAATTTGAGGTTTATTTAGTATATTCTTAATCATGAATATACATACACAGACGGCAAAAAGAAATCGAATAAACTGGGCATTATTTTCGCTCGTGCGACGTGACCACAAAGATACGCCTACGATCCACACGCTGGAATAGTTTCTTCTTGCTCATAAAAGCTAAGCCTACACTACACTTCTCAGTCCGAACTCCGAAGCCGAGTGCCGCAAAAAATTTCGAAGCAGCATCGTGCACGTAGGAAACATGAACTGCAGGTGTTCTATTCCCTATAAGCGATGAACTTCGCAATGTCATGGATCCCAGCCTCTCTGTAGCAGTCGGCGATCCGATCCACGACTTCGTCCCAGTTGCCGTCAACCGTGGCCAGATACATCAGAAACGCCGCCTCGTCAAGGACCACCTGCAGTTCGAGAAGCTCATGTGACAGGGTGCAGGGAAGCAACTGGGCATCTATGATGGAATGGTAGGCAGTTTGTTGTTACAGACCTGCTCTGGAGCTTTTCCTTTCTTCAGATCGTCTTGTTTGCCCTCTTCGGATACCTTCTCTCTTATGAACTCGATCTGCTCATCCTCCCACCCAGCTAGTTCAGCTGCCTCCTGTCGAAGCAGAAAGTAAAAGGTTGCTCAGCTGAGACATAGAAGCAGAAAGTGAAAAGCAGAAGGTAACAGGAGAAACCATACTTCGTATCTACAGCCTAGTGTCCACCATGGTGACTTCAAAGCCACTCGAGCTGATTCTTTGGCTTCAGATGTACGCCCAATTCTGAAGAAAAGAACAAGCAAAATTAGGAACCCTGATTCTTTACATGTACACCACAGATTTTATTCAGGCACTTATATAGATGAAATGTTATCTGATTTACAACATGTATGACAGCGCAGTTGCCAAACATTAGCACGTCATTGCTTCGTTATTTATTCACAACGTTAGTGTTGTCCTGCTAGTCCACAGCACTTGGAGAACTTCTTAGATCTCTATTCTTTTACGAAATTTACACCACAATCAGATAACTCTCAAATCAGAACTCAATTGAAAGTACTATTAGCAATCTTATATCAATAGATATTTTTACCACAAACGAATTCTAGTCGGTTCGGTCCAGCACAAGCAAAGGTGCAGCAGAACAGCAAGATGCCATAATAACTGCTTGCCTCATATTTTGCTAGGGATCACCATTCACCAGCGCACACTGTGCTCATGCAAAGTGTAACTACACAGTGAGGGCCTAATTGATAGAACATCAATCACCCATCTAGTAGATATTTCTGGTCAAAACCTAACCTAGTAGATACAACATCTGATGAAATAACATATAATTATGCTATACAGCTCACACAACAGTACCTTTTTTGAACTTCTGAGTTGAACACAAAGGGTCTTCCAAATCCAGGAAACTGATCTCTAGTATAGAATTCTGAGGTAATAAGAGCGGAGACCTGAAGGGCAAACGCAATGTACATTAAATCTCGTTAGATAAACATGAATAATGTATCTCCGGAGAAGGAAAGAGTTTCACATTATCTCCTTTTTCCAGGTGGCGTGATGCTTTCCTTTCTAGAATGTCTGGAAAGAGTCCAACCTACAGTAAGATATCAGTAAAGATAACTCTCCTCAAACTCAGTAGTTACAAACTGAGGTGGATTTCTCAACCTTCTTCAACAAATAGACATCAAGATCTGCCATCTGTGATTCTTTGAGATCACCTCTTTTGTAAATGTTTGGACCAGCTTCCCCTACAGCAGACCATAAATCTTCTCGAACAGCAGACCATAAATCATCACCACTCTTAGCTCTGCTATCAGCCTCAACAAGTATTCTATGAATATATTGATTGACCTGATAAATATGAGTAAAATTTGTAAATGGATTGCATGTGCACATGTAGTAAAACAAAACATTACAAACACATAGCAATATAGACTTACGTTTTTAGCCAAAAGCCATAGCCCATGGTTACGCACTTCCACTACAGGCATTTCCATCCTGAAAGACAAGCAGATGTAGACACGCCATTTAAATACCAGTTCCAGCTTCCAGAGGTGAAAACAATAAAAATATATAACAGTATATGGAGGGGCAACTAACCCACTTGGAGCAGTCGGCCATCTCAGCAGGGATGTCAAGTTACCTACATTTTGACTAATACTGTCAGGCCTTTGAGCTTACATCATAATGTCCATAATGACTGTCCAAGCGAATAATTCAGTCTAGACAAATCCAAACCTTGTGGGCTTTCCGACAGGGGAACAACAAGTGGAATGAGCCCTCTCTTAGCTCCAGGAGAAACTATCTTCTCACCTGCCAAGTGCCAAATGTATTCTTGACATCAAGGTGAAGAGAGACCAGGAGCTACAATTTTAACACAATGCTTTCTCTAGGTGGCGCTATTCTAAGTTTCTGACCAGAGACCACCTATGGAAAACTAAAATTAAAACTTCTACTGTATTAAGAAAGACAATGGGATCACAGTTGTTGACACTGCTGAAACCCATTGAGTAAGCATTGCCCAATAATAGATACTCCCTCTGTAAAGAAATACAAGAGCAGTGATCTAAACACTCTTATGTTTCTTTTCGGAGGGAGTAGATGATTTCAGTTTGCATGACAAAGGGTCTGTTGGCACGACCGAAGAATCCATGGAAATGAAAAATGTTACTGAGATATGCGAAGTCGTACCTCGTGCATGAAGCACGTTCAGTAAAGAGTTCAGATGCTCCGGGGGGTCGGTCACGGCGATTTCCTTGACAAAGGACACATGATCTGAAGAATTCAACAGGAACAAAGAAAGAACTATCAGAAACCTCGGCTAGCAAACGGAAAAGGGGCAGAGCAGAGTAATTGCATGGATGATGATGCAATCAGCAGAGCAGCATAGGCAGAAATGTGCTCTGTTAAGCTGCAGCTCCACTGGATTCTGCTCAAACAGTCTACTAGAGAGTAACCACATCTCTGGAAAATGGTAGCTGAGGTCCATTCCTATTTCCTAGAAGTAATGATACGAGTCTATAACCACAATGACATTGCGGATCCAGCCGGCTCCCCGAATCTAATGCCATAGCAGAAGCTCATCAACCAATAATCATATATACAAGTATGTCTTCATTAGATTTATTTGAATGACAAAATAAGCCTAAGAATTCATCTCTCTATAAGCAGCGCGGACTACTCGATTCATCGAATAGGATGGCCGCAATCATGCAGGGAACTAACTAACGTCCATAAGAAGCACTATGCGGCGGCCTCACCGTACGAAGTGGCGGCGGCGGCGGCGGCGACCGAGGAGGAGGAGGAGGACGCGCAGCGGGCGGCGACGAACGACATCCCTCCGAGCGCTCGCCGCGGCGCCTGCAGCACGGACGCGGCCGCGGCCGCCGCGGGCCTCATCTCGCCGTGGCCGGGGGGTGCGCGGGCGGCGGAGCGAGCGGCGCTGGGACTGGGACCGGGAGGGCTTGGGCGACGCGGGGCGCTGCTGGCCTCACGCTGCCTTCGCTTGGGTTGGGCCTAACAAACAAAGCTGTCCCGATCCGACAAGACGGGGACCGCTCCCACCTACGGCCCAGCAGAGAGCCGAGCCGAGATATCGATCCAATGGCTGCCGAATTCCGGCCCAGGATTTCCAGATTCCCTC